TTTTTTTTTTTTTTCTTGGCAGAACTGGGGATTGAACTCAGGCCCTTGTGCTTGCCAGGGAAGTGCTTATTCCACTGAGCCATCTCTCCAGCCTTCTCTAAAATAGCTTTTGAAAAACTTATTTAAATTTTAGTTCAGGCAATCTGACCTGTGAAATACTTAAACTTTACTATGTTTGGAAACATATTTTTCAAATCAGTGCAATCTTACCATAATGCCCTTTTCGCCCTGGGGACCCAGGGGACCTGGACTTCCACGATCTCCCTTTTAAAACAGTAAAGAAAAGAGAGTAACATTCAGTTATGTTAATGAGTAACAAATGAACTGAAGCTAGAAGAGAAAGTCATTTGTGTCATGCCATATGTACATATCTCATCCTAATTTTTAAATATTGGCTTTTTACTCTAAAATTGTGGCTTTTAATATAACTTCTGTTAAAGATGTTTTCAAGAAAAAAATGCTAAATGTCTTATTAAAATAGAATATAAATTATGGATCTATAAGACTTAATATTAAGCCAGTATCATGTTGAAGATTTGTTAGGTGGAAATGTTTTACTTATGGGATACATGAAATTTGAGAATAAAGTATCAAAATAAATTGAAAATTAATCTGTACAAACCATTGAAAAGGATTTATTTCTATAGCCTGGCTACCATAAATAAGTGCCTCAGAAATAGTTCTGGCAGATTATGGTAATCAAATCTGCTTTAGCAGATTAAAAGGATTAAATTGATTCACACAAAAATTCCCACGATTGTCAGAAATCTTACTGTAGAAGAGTTAACCCAGCACCAATGTAAATCAACATGAAAAAATATAAAGCTAATCTTTTTGATAATAAAATTAACATGTATTAAGCACATTGTACTAAATGAGAGGAGAAGTATTTAAAAATAGTCTACTCTTAAGTGATTGCAGACATGATACAAATGCGAACAGAGATCAACCAGCAGACAATTGAATTTAAAACTGCGGCACAGTGCTTAGATTTTGACTCCGGGAAGGGCTGACATCTGGAGGGATTAGAAAACTCTAAAGAGACTTCACAGAGGAAATGGATGGGAACTAGCTGAGTCCAACATTTTGGTTTTGAACAGACAGAAAGGGAGAAGATACTGTAGACAAAATAGTAAGGATGGGAAAAAAGCAATGAGGGAATAAGAAATATAAATTTATACTCTTCTGTTTCACACTGCTTCCAGGTGGGTGAGGCTCACTCTCATAAAGTAGATTTAAGTAATAAATTTTTTTTTACCATACACTTACAATGTTGATTCTTTTTCATTTCATACATCCTGTTAACCAAAAGGATACTCTGTCCCTCAAGAATTGGAGAACAACCAACTATTATCTATATTTTAATATATTTAAGAGTTTTAGTAGAGATGAGCTAGAGTTATGATTTCTAATTAACATAAAACATCATATGAAATAACATAGAACAAACTTCAAGACCATAACTGCTTTCCCAATTGGTTTAAATTATAGGGTAGTTTTACCTTCTACTTGTATTTAGAGAATTTAGCCTAGAAGTCTTACTATAAAACAATGCAAGGAAATACCTTTTCACCAATGCTTCCAGTTATCCCAACTTCTCCAGGTGAGCCAGTAGGTCCCTTTTGGGGAAAAGTACAAGGAAAAATATACATATATTATGTTCCTATTATAGGATCCAGGTCTTAAATCCTCTGCAATCATTTTCTTTCTTTTCTTTCTTTCTTTCTTTCTTTCTTTCTTTCTTTCTTTCTTTCTTTCTTTCTTCCTTTCCTTTCCTTTCCTTTCCTTTCCTTTCCTTTCCTTTCCTTTCCTTTCCTTTCCTTTCCTTTCCTTTCCTTTCCTTTCCTTT